CTTGCCAGTACACTGTCCCCCGTAGCAAATTCAGACAGCAGTGCCTTAATTCAAACAGGGTCAAACATTTTCAAACACCACATCAATGAGAGGAAAAAACTGCACTTGCAACGATTCAAATTAAAAACTATTGTGGTGACAACCAGAAGAGACACATTATGAAGGAGGTGCTGTATGTGAAATTAATCGACCGGAGCAAAGCGCACCGATAGACATCCCCACTCCTCTGTCATTTGTGTGCACACATACAAATCTCACTCGGTTTAACAACAGTGATATGGAAGTTAATCCAAATGGTGGTGGTGGCAATATCCTATTAGACCATGGCAGTAAAATCAAGCTGAGTCTGGTAACACATCACAGATATCAGAACATGTTCAGCACGCTCCATTACAATACGAAGTGACATCAATCAGCGGGGGTCCTCTTACACACACATAGAGGCATAAAACAAACATGCAAATCATACACACAGACGTGCATAAGCCTGAAGTACTGCTAAAAAAAACATGTTGGAGTGTTGAAGTGCTTTTCCATTTGATATTATTTTAAATGGTATTATAAAGAATGTATCACTGGCCTTTCGCTAGATAAATTCAAACATATTGTTGAGGGAAAGATAGTCGAGCACCCGAGGGCAGAAGGGTGGACATATGAATAGCTGTTCATAACACGTTTTGTAATTATTATATTATATATTATAATTATATTTGCTCCCCGAGCCTCTGGTATGAAAAGTGATTTAGAGGCAGGTGGCAGACAGTGTTACTGTCCTAGAGCTTTGTGACTGTCTGTGAAAGATGTGCTGCAATTCAGTATGCAAACTGCTCCAAATGATAAAAGAGCACATTTTTCTTAGTACCCGGTTTGCAAGGAGTGTCCTACTAATCATTCTTTTCATTTTTAAATCTGTTTTTAGTAAGATAGGGCTGCATTTGATACTGTGCATATCACTTTCTTTCTGGTGTGCCTGGTTTATCATTCAGCGGGTCAGGTTTGGCACTGCTAAAATAACTCTTGTCCCTGATTTGAAGGACCTTCACTTCCCTTCCTTTTGCAAGACCTCTGCTCGAGTTCACCCAGGCCAACTTAGGCTAGTCCTCTGTGTGTGGTGTGTGTGTGTGTGTGAGAGAGAGAGGGGGCTCTGTCTTCGTACTGCTTGGAAACTGTTGAAGGTCAAAGGGCAGGAAGTTGGCCACCTGCCTCTGTCACTTTAGTAAAAGTAGAGAGCATAGAGAGGAAGTGGCGGCAGGAGAGTAACACATGAGAGACAAAGCGAAAGTATGAATGTCTGTCAGTATGTGAGCATACATTTTTGTTAGACATTTGAATTTAAGGTCAGATGTGTTTAACTGAGGCCTTAAAATCCTTAAATAACTAACATTATAATTGAAGTCACATCCTCTAAAATCTCCAGCATTTTCTGATGTTGTTTCTTGCTTGCTGGGCATTTTGTTGACCTCTATGAAACGTATCTGATCTGCAATCTTTATGTCTGATTAAAGGAAACGACTGCTTCAGGCTTTGGAGTTTCATAGCACCACAGCTGAATAACCTGGTGCAGGGATCTCTCCGCTGGTATTTGCTAGAGGCGACAACCTTTCCTCGCTCCCTGCATAAATGTGCCAAGCGAGGACGAGAGCATAGAAGGCCAGAGGGCAAAAAGGGTGTGAACCACCTGCTTCTGTCACACTGTCAGGATGAAGGCGAGCGGGTGCAAATAGGGTGAAGTGTGTGTAGGAGTTGGGTTGGGGATGTTGTGTAGGAGGGGGGGGGGGGGACAGGTGGCACGCCGGACAGCGCTGGCACAGGCCACCCCAGGATTTATCACTCAGCGACAGTCACGGCTGGGCAGGGGACAGATGTTTCTGTTTACCCCAGGGCAACATCTGACTGGCCGAGCCTAACGTTAGCCCCACAAGCCTCGCCTGCCCGCACAAGACAAAGCCTGAGAGGATAGGAAGAGAAATAGACAAGGAAAGGAGAACAAAACTGCAGGATTCTCAGTTTGCCCCCAAGGCACATAAGCAAGTTAGCTTATTTCTCTCCAGTCAGCTCCATCCTCCACTTGCACCTGAAACTCATTAGGCCCCCACTAACTGTTGTGCCACTATAGGGAACCGTTTTAATAAGTAGTAATAATGCCGACTGACAATATGAGCTGTTTTCAAAGCAGGGAACCTGTGCCAGTTATTGGGGAAACAGTTGTAATTGATCTCGGGTATATGCTACATGTCCACTTAGCTAGAAAAGTAGAATGCACAGCTCTTATTGGGGTGTTATTTAAGGGCCATTCAGTGAAAGCTCTTTGCATTAGTGTATGTGTTTAGTGTACAGTGTTCCAGCTGGGAAATACGAGCGCTGTCACTGGTAATGTAGCTGGAGCACACGTCCCCGGAGGAATGAGTGATGACCTTTAGGTTCAACCCTGAGTGAGGTCATGTCAGAGTTACCATGGTTACTATCAGCAGACTCCTGGTGCCAGCATTACCTCAGCCGCCTGGCATTGCCAGGGTCAGGCAACAGGCTGTGACCTCCCCACGGTTTACTCAACTTTTGACAAAAACACCAACAACACTAACTATAGTCTCGTACAGCTTATTTTCTCCCAATACAAATTCGATTTGACTTACATTACTAAACCCAAATTTACCAAAATGTTTTGTTACAGCAGCAATGTTAACATTTTAATGCAATGAGGTTAAGTAATGTTTAGTAGCTGGCATTGGATGCAGATGATTACCATGTTTTAAATTATTTCAGTCTTGAATAAGTCAATCTGCTGAATTAAGTTTAATATCACAGTTTTCTTTCATTAAATACCCCTAATGATTTAGCACTGAATAAGTCATCAGGCAGGAGAATTTCAGCTTCCCTAGGATTGTAAATACCACATTTGTGAGCATAAACATCGCTCTTGGAAATCTAGAAACCCGCAGAGAATGCCAGTTATCTGTGATTTCATCAGCACATACAACAGAGCTGCTGCATTTCAATGATTTAGTGGAATAATAAAAATATTGTTTGCACTGGACTGCATTTTATGAACATGGTAACTGATCTGTACCAGGAAATGTCTCTGGATGCTCTTAAAGTCACCTTTTCCTTCTTTTACAACTTATTTCTGGCTTATTTGTGCACTAGCATAAAATCACAAATGTATGTATGTTGGACAAACTGCTTAATTTATAACTCTTTGTCCAAGTTCAGTGTTTCCAGCAGAACTACATTTGAGTACTTTTTCCCCGAGGTACTAGAAATCGTCTAGAGGTCTTGCCATATGCATATTTTGTTCTGTCCACAAAAATACAATGTGCAAAAAACTAAAAATTACAATTTCACTTTTGCCTTGTAGCAGCTCATTCACTCTGCGGTCAGAGCACCGGTCCATAGACTATCCGTCTGCAGGTGAAGGTTAGAAACACAGCTGTGTGCACACACAGAGACATACAAACACTCACACAAGTCTATTAAAATTGTAATGTAAACCATTATAATATTCAGTATCACAACCCAACATTATCTCTCCACAAATGAAAAACCTAATGGGATGTCTTAATCATTTCATGCAGGAGATGCAATAATACATACCGCTATTCTATTTGTGGAACATGTTTGTCCACTCTCCTCCTGATAGGCCCCATTTAATCATGTTGTTCTGTTTCCTAATTAGCAGAAATGCAAAGTGTCTTTGTCACCTGTGGACAGCCAAGAGGGCTAATTTGGGCTTTTCACTAATTGCCACGGTAACGAGCCTCCTGCGCCTCCACTGGGGGTGGAGGAAGGCATGGCAGGAGGAGGATGGAGGATGGAGGATGGAGGGATGAAGACACAGCTCTCCTCACACACGGCCGAGGTGTGAAAGAACGCGGCAGGCCAACAGAACGCAGCCTGGAGGAGTCCAACAGCAGGGAGTGGGGGACAGGCTGCGCTGTGAAAAAGCCCCAACACCCAGCTGAGAGGGAGGAGGACTCAGCTCTGGCCAGTTTTGCTCTCTCAACTTTGATGAGGAGATGGCTACATTGGGTTGGATAACTGTTGGACGTTTTTCTGACACTGACACCTGTTATTGTTCCTACCTGATTTAATACTGGTTCCCACACAATGTACTTTTTCTTCCACTAAAAACTATTATTTTAATAGTAAAATTCCAGGTATAATTCAGCAGGCAGTTTTTAAATGAGCAGCACGACATGTATGAAGACTGTGTGGGGTAGGAGGATATGACAGCAATATACCTAATTAATATATAGGATGTTTGAAAATGAGGATGTTTAATGTAATTAATTAAGCTCAAGTTGCAGCTTTCAGTTGTGTTTTGCTTCATGCAACTTTTTATATAGTTTTTTAAAATCATGTTAAAATAGAAACTTTAGAGGGAAAAAATAGTGGTTCTAATAAGCCAAATGCTTGAAATGTCTTTCCTTCTGTATATATAGTTTCTCCTGGTTTTAAGATAATATTACTAAAAACACACAAAAACACATTATAATTACATAGCATTATAGAATGTATGTAAAGTTAGCAAAATCATTGTGTAGAAAAAGCCAAAGATTCAATATTGAAATACAAAAATTGCTTTTCAGCATTTTAATTCCACCATGAAGCAAAGGGGATGCTTAGCTTTAATTAAAATATACATTTTGTAATAGACGATTATTCCCTGTTTTGCTAAAACAAGCTTAATTCACATGCCTCTGCATAGGCTATTTCTCAGCGTCTAAATTGACATTCATGTTTGCATGATTTGCATAAATTATTATCGTCACTCCTCGTATTATTTTTGCAGGAAATTAAATGGACACCGTTAATGTATTCAATTCGATCAATATGTTCTCTCTGCTGATTTATACCATCTTTGCTTCTTTTTTTTCAAATACATTTTCTTTTCAGTAATACACCCTGAAAGCTTGGGGGCACCTTGTCCGTACGCTGCTCTCGGGGGCGCGCAAGAGCGTGTTTGAGTGTGTGCGTGAGTGTGTGTGAGAGAGCGTGTGAATGTGTGTGTGTGAGTGAGCGTGTGTGTGTGTGTGCCTGCGCGCGTGTGTGTGTCTGCTCTGCTGTTGCTGCCCTTTGATCCCTGCATTAGTGTTAGTTAGGGGCTCGGAGACACACTTGCACCGAGAGCAGCCATAGTCAAGACACGGCAACAACAACAGCGGCACCTCCTCCGCCTGTGTTCCCATTCCCCAACAATACACTTTAAACCGAGCAAAGCCAGGTGCACGACCGAGTCCCTGCCATCACTGGCGCCTCCAGTCTCAATGGGAAAAACCTTTTTTCTTCTTATCCCTAAACAAGGACGAGAATGTGATTAAAAACGGGGGAAAATGCCAAGGAGGAAGCAGGAGCAACCCAAGCGCCTGCCTTCACGTAAGTCGGATTTGTACCATTTTAACGTCTCTCCGTGTGTTTTGCGCAGTAGTTTAGGGTTAAAGAGGTGAAACAGACAAAAGACTCGGCGTAGGTTATTTCTCCCTTTTTAGGTCCGAGCGAGGCAGCCATGTTGTTGGCGATGGGTAACGTTAGCTGAGGCAGTGAGTGGATAAATGATACGTGGCTTTATTAAAGAGTATAATCGATTGGAGGTCCGGTTCCGCTAAAGGTTGCGGTCAGTTGGCATGTCGGTAATGTGTGTGTGACGGAATAACGGCCGAGCGTTTTCGGTAATGTGCTCGCCTCTGCTTGCTCGCTTTTTCGGGTAGAAAGGGGAGGATCTGGGAGTCTGGCCGCAATAAAATGAAGGGTCAGTCGGATCAGACATCCAGAGTCTGGCTCCCCCATACCCCCGTGTTCCTAGTTAGCAATTGCGCTATCTAGCAACCTCGGTAAACTTCATTTCCTCTGATAAACGTGTAACTTTCACCCCGTAGTTTTTGCTGCTCCAAATCGCGGAACCGAATTTGTTCGCGCTTGTTTGTCGTCGACTTTAAAAAGTGTGGAGAGAATGTCTTTCTTTTTTACCCCAGGGCAATGTGTGTTTTTTTTCTACCCCTCCCAGTCTGCATGTAGGCTATGTCAGAGCCATGGTCGGTCACCTGAAGTTCAGGGTTTTTCCCCCTTCCCTTTGCAGCCATTCATTGCAGACAGACTACGATCAATAAAGCGGTTAGAAAAGGGAAGCGACAGTTGTGCTCTCCTACGTTGCTTTAACAAACAATTAACCGCAGCCGAAACCTATTGTAGTTTCCGTGTTGTTGATTTTGATGGGAGGTTGGTCTACTTTTGTACATTTGACCCTCCGTATCTTGGATGTTCGTATTGTGCCTTTTATCAGTCCAGATAATGAAAAAGCTGCGATAACATACTCCGGCCACTAGAGGATTGCTTAGAAGGTAGTGGGCAGTGACAACGACTATTTAAGAAATTATCCACAGTGACATTTTCTGCTCAATACATGAGTAATCAAGCTCAATTAGTCACATTGGTGTGCAAAATGTAATGAATAATTAAGTGATTCATCTTTAGATCAACGACGTCCCAATACATTTATCTTATGACACACTATTTTCTTCATTTCTTAAATGTCAGACCATGCCAGCTGTTCATCAAAGCCTGTCACCATAAAGAAAAGCACTTTAAGTTGTGACTTTTCCTCAGTTTACTTACATTTACAGGAACTGAGGAATGAATGAGCTCATGCTGCACCTGTCATAGTTTAATATTGACATATTAAAACATGTACACATATAGTTATTCATGTAGCTTCACAAAGAAGACAAACATGCGGTTTTTTAAATATTATTTTGGTAATATTTACTGATAAACAGCTCAGAGGATTGACCTAGGGTTGAACTTGGGAAATGGCAGCGGTTGGTTCGGAGGCATAGAGGTGGAGAGTTGGTGACAGTTGTGAGTGTGTTACTGAGTGGCAGGGAGATATTTGTACAGTGATATGCTGCATAAGGAGTATGTAAGCCATATGGTTGAACTGCACAGAACAGGGTCATGATATTTCTATATCACATATTAATATATATAACCGAATATAACCCATTGCAGCCTCTTTACTACCACTCTGCATACCGAGGCTTATTTAGGGAGCTTGTTCACTGAATATGTCTTCCTTATCGGCTACCAAAATCTGTGTTTTATGAAGCGAATTTAGTGTTCCGTGTACTCGTGAAATACATGCAGTAGTACGTTATTTTCATACCTAAAGCAGGGTGCATTCTGCTAAATGTCCCTTTGTTAGTGGCATTCATAAATGAGTAGGTGCATAGTACAGTATGGGGATACATCCAGTGATGGTGGATTAAGAAATAAATGGCTTTCATAATTGGAGTAAAGTGTGAGTGAGTCGTTGTGTTTCAATGAGACTTCCTGGTAAAATCAAAAGTCAAAACAAAACAGGGATATTTTTTCCTCTCTAGTCTTTGAAAGATTTTTTGTGATATAATTTAGTAGCTACATTTAAATAGATGTTATGTTGTTGACCTAATTGTTTTGAAGCTCTTAATATGATGCCCACCTAGGTTAGGTATCTCAATTGGTTGTCTATTTCAAAACCTTAATGCACCCTGGAGTTTAATTTTGACTACTCAGATTTTTTTTAAATAAAAAATAGAATATTTAGGTTTTCTTTGTTTCAAATATAACAAAATACATAAGCTTTAAAAAAGAAAAGAAAAGAGGAAAACAAGTCCCATCAGAAAAATGGTGCGATCCAACGATTAAAATGCATGAGGTTGTGTACTGAAGCTCTGTTTCACACAGCAGCCTCATTATATTGTCTGGATCTGTCAAACATGAAGTCCAATATTTCCCATCTTTTGGACAAGAGGAGAAAGTTAGTCCATGTCAACCTTTCAATTAAGCAGCTTTGTAATTGGTCTGTAACAGAAATACCCCTCACCCACGTATCTGAAATGATGTACTCCTGTGTAGGCGCTGTACTGGAGCACTACTGTGCCTGTGTTCCCGGCTTTAAATGAAAGCCTTTTCTGATTTCTTTGTTTTTTTCCCCTCCTCAGTCAACAAACTGTCAACAAAAAGTATGAATTTGTCAGAAGCTTTTTACGCTTTGTTTTGGATCTTCCCACTCTGGAATGGAAGTGTCACCTCATGCCATTCGCTGTCAGTCTGTGTGTTTTCATTATTCAGCCAACAACACCCTGGTGGTGTGCCAGCCAGCAAGCACAATATCGAGCTTCAAATCTCTTCATCTGTGGTGAAAAAGGGCAAGCCAATACACTGGCTTTAATGCTGGAGGTGCTTTATCTTAGCACAGACCCAGATATATGGCCTGTGTATCCCAGTGTGCACTGTGCACTGTCCTTTTGTGTGTGGCACAGCTTGCGAGAGGAGACTATTCTTTAAGTGTGTGTGCAGGGCACGCACATGTGAAAGTGATCTAGTGTGTTTGTGTGTGTGTGTGTTTGTCTGTAGGTACATAAGCCGGCTATGGAGGTCACAGTACAGTATGGCGCCTTCACTCTGACAAGTAAACATGACCTTTGGTGCCACAATGAAAACTGCCATTCTTTATGACCTTGCAGTGTGTTATTGTTGGTATAATTTTGCTGCCTTATTATTCTCTCTTTAAAGTTGCAGATAGTGAAAACGCTTAGGGTTTGATGTTTTGTATGTGTGACTTTGTGGTTTAAAAAATGACATTGAAGAAGTCAATATAAGCCTATATCCATTATTGTTTGGCATATATCATTTCAAAATGTTGATATTATAGTCTGTTGTCATTAGGTCAAACATTACCATTAAGATTTCTCAACAAGAAGTCATTGTTGTCCGTAAAAAATTAAGTGGATGTTAAAAATATTGACTGAGAGAGTCCATATCATGAACAGCACAACCGTAACTATATATTTAGATATTTGCATCCTGCCTACTTATCCAATGGTAATCTACATTTCAAATGGGGGAGATTTTTTAACGTTTCCAGACTGATATCGGCTCTTTGTCAGCCAATAGCTGACTGACTGGGTGGCTCTCTACCTTACTGTAATGGCGGGTCACTGGCTCCCTTCCACTTGCTATGATTATAATGACCTTGGTAGGGCTGGGGCCCGAAAAACATTGGATTAAGGGGAAAGGAAAATTAGAGGAGGTTTCCATTTCGCTCTTGGCATAAGATTTGTGGGGTATTTCTGCCAAGAATCCCATACCTCACCACCACCGCTACGTCCCCCCCTCAGGTTGATGGGGCTTGGGTGCTCTGGCGGTGTCGGGCGAGTGGAGCTCAAGCGAATAATGATACACAGACTTTAACTTAGAAATGAATTAAAGGGCAGAGGAAAGGTGGTGGATGCCTCGCTCACCATACACTGTCACAGAGAGCTGAGAAACCGGCTTTTAGCGAACATACAGCCGCCAAACTGGACTCTGTCTTTTGTGTTTTGCTCGATAGTAAATGTAAACACCGATGTAAATACACCGGTAACGCTTGATGGGCCTGGCTAAATCTTAGGTGTGAATCTTATACACATACGTTAAGCTTATTTTAAAATGGCACGGTACATAGGCAGCACGGTGGTGATGCGTTTCAGGGTAAATACAACTTAAAAATAAATGTTTATGCTCTATTCAGTTAAAATGCTAGTAAGTCGAAGATTTAGTAACATTTATTTTTGGAGAGAAACTTGAATAAATACGTTTGTTTGAGGGAGATTACTTTTATATTAGATAAAGATTTAAAATAGATACTAGAGAGGGAATTATGACTACCTAACCCTAGCTATTAGCAGGTTATGATACATAAACAACACCACTAACGCCCATCTTTTTAAAATCTAATCAAATTGGCAAATTGAAATACAATGGTGACTTCCTCATTGTATAATAATATTATTGAAATTTTTATTTTTATGCAAATAACCACCATAGATGACAATAACAAAGTAGAACATAATATAAAAAAAGTCTTGCCTGTGTATAATCTTTTTTTATTCAGCAATCTATGAAGAATTGTATTAAAAAGAGGAATCTGTATTAAAGTTTACTTATCCATTTCCATCCCTTCGTATTGTCAAATCCCTCAAGAAATGTAATTGTCCAGTAAAATGTTCTAGCCTCTGATAACCTTTATCTACCTCAAGAAGACAATTATCATTTCTAATCACATCTTCAGTAAAAAAGCTATTCTTGTATCAGGGCAACAAGTTTGAAGATTCATAACTGTGTTGTTTCAGGGTGTAGGTTTTTTAAGGTCGAAGCCGGTATGTATTTATATAAAATGTTTTTCCTTACATAACCTTACCCTCTGAACGCCCTTTGAACTCAATATCTGGAGGCTGTGTCTTGTCAGAAAAGCTTTAAATGTTAGCTTAATTATGCTAGTCAAGGTCCCGCCCATCCATCTAATATATCCTAAAGATTATGTAGATCTCCTGTTTAAGAGCATTGTGGAATCCTAGTGA